TTCGAGCTCTTTTTGCATTTTGGAACTCTTTTGGCTCGGACACTTTTAAGCGCATAACCGAGGTCCATTTAGTAGTAGGTCGATGTTTATGATATTATTTTAAATGATAAAAATTGATACATTCACAATAAAAATACTTACATATGGAATACAACTCCATCTTTTCGTAAACTTTAAGTATTTGACTGCTTTATAAACACGTTAACCGCACCGATTGGAATTTTTCAAAAAACACCTACTTCGGCGGAAATGATTCTCATAAGGATAAAAATCGAGTGCGTTTATAAAAACGATTCCGTAAGCAGGTTTAATCAACGCATAAGATTTTTAAATCCAATACCTTGGCAGAGGGCAATAATCTTGCGAGGCGAGTCCACTGTGTTAAATGGTCTAAAGGCGTTAACTCACTTGCCTGCCGCAGGGGCATTCTAGGGTGTAGAAGTGGGGATTACCCTTAATTTCCTCCTTAATTGTGATTTGTGTATGTAAGCAGGGGTAATTTCCTAAGTCGGCCCTGTGGCTGGGCGGCAGGGGCGCAAGAACTTCCTTGCTCTCTAGATCATAGCTACCGCTGCCACGTGTGTAGCGCCATTGGAACAATTTAAATCAGTTCGTTAATGACTTTCGCGTGCAGCACACTTCACAATAGATATCAATAAAAAATGTGAAATTTGGACACTGGTGATAGAAGTGTATAAACAGCGGCTTCTTCACCCATTATCTCCTTTTTGTTTTTTTTTTACAGCAGCACCGCAGAAGGAACGTTATTTAAACGTTGTAACGTTTTTAAAAGTGGTAGAGTCATGCTGCAGTTTTTAAGGACTGTGTTATGGTTGTAATTATTAATTAATTAGTTGTTTTATCATAAATATGGGTGTCTATGGGCCACAGTATCTCCTTAACATCAGGTGGACTGTGCTCATTTGTCACCCTTATTCTTTATAAAAAAAGAACCAAGGCTATATTTACCGATTCATTGATATTTCGATAAAACTGGCGCCGTTCTCAACTCATGTGTCCACCGAGATGTACACTTTCATACTGAACGGCAGGCATGTTTGTAGAGAGACAATTCTGATATTGTCCCGATCGCCGTTCATCCTAGATTGCCCTGCGGCATGCAAGTGAGTAGCCGCCTTAAAACCGAGACAGACCAGACGATTTTTTTTTATTCTATTTAGCACAGTGTTGCCAACCAGCCAATTTCTTGATTCCGCTAAGGACTGACAGCTGCCAAGTAGCGCCACCAACAGTTTTAATATTATAACTTCTAAATAAGAGCGCTGTTTTTCTGATTTAGAAGTTATAATATTAATAGTGATAGATAAGTATACCCTTTTAACCATTGGATGGTTATCGTTGATTCGATGTTTTATGAAAATACATCGATACATCGAGTATATCAATAACTTTCCAAAACATCGGATCGATTCAATGCATCGTATTGTAAACATCGAGTGAATTCGATGCATCGATGTATATCGAATATCCCTACGCTCCGCTTCACAAACTATATAGAAACTACGCGCTCCGCTTCGTGTTGTTTTAGTAGTTTTGTGTTTTGAATTTGTTTTAGTTAATTCCCGCTAAATGTTATAATTATGTCGTCAAGAACTAGCCACACACACTTTACAATAATGGTAGAGTTAATGGAAAAGTAAGTAACTATATTGAAACAACAGTTTTGATTGTATTTTTGTCTATATGTTTATTGTATATTGATAGTGATTTATTCTGTTAAATAATGAATATTGTTTGTTACCAAGGAACGGTGATTTATCGAAACCACAGAATGACGACAGTGGTGTATTATAAAGTGCAAGGAGCTATGTGATTTACTTAACAGCCAAGGAATCGGAGTCTCGCAAAGAAGAAAAGTGGCGAAAAGTAAGTGCTAGTCTATTTTTCTAAAACATTCAATATCAATCAAGAGCGCTTTAGTGAGAATTTTGGGTTCATTATCGTTTTATTTGGTTTGCTTAAGATGTGGAGTGATTTAAAAAGATAGTGGGCAAAACCTTATAGACAATTAAATTAATATGAAAAAAATATGTCTCACATACTTGGAGAACAGGGTGCTTTAACATAGATAGAACTTTAGTAAGAATCACTGTAAAAACTTTAATTTTAACATCTTAATATTAATTACTAACACATACTCGTACTTTCTCCGTGAAAATATATCATTCAGAAGATATTAATGTATATGAATAATAACTTTAGAATAAGACTAATATCTTATTATTTTACAGGTAGAATAATCTGCCGGAATTAATAAAACAGTATTTTATATTCGCAAAGCCACAAACAGAAAATTTAATAATTGTACCATCTGAAATTCCCGCTATAGGTACGTCTTCAACTACTCTTGTGTATATTAACTATTGCAATTATTAAATATAAAAAATATGTAATAATAAAATATGTAATAGTAATAATTTCATGATGTAAGTGATACTAGTGTGTAATCATGAGTCCTGTTTATTTTATAAATTAAAGAAATCATAATAATAAAGTACTTATAATTCAAATTAGTCATTACATCTCTTAACTTTTAAATATTTTTAACAATATAAAAAGGAAATATCTGTGAAAGTAATGTAGAAATTTCAAGTTTTTCAATTGATCTTTTCAGATGATGAGGACTGGAACACTCCTGGCGGCAGCAAGGATTCAGTACTTATACCTCCATCCAATCCCAGATTCCTAACAATAACCAGATCCCAAACACCTCCAAAATCTACCACACCGCCGAAATCTCTAATTGTCTTACACAGGCAACAGAATATTTTTTTGAGTGAGGAGAATATAAGGAATGATAATAAGGAAAGTTAGGGATTTGTGTAATTAGAACGAGAGAGGATACTACAGAGAACTTTGTCAACATGATACTGAGCCGAGGTGCAAGTTCAGTGTAATAATATATAAATAATAATAATTGTACATGTTTTTAATAAAATGTCTCATTGAAATTTTGTACTTGTACTTTTTTATTTGAACTTAATATTAATATCGGAAAAAATAGACTACACTTAAAATCTAAAGTCGTAATAACAAAAACAAATCAAAACATTATTCAAACTGTGTAGATATGCCTACAACACAATAGAGAATCAATTTAATTACAAAAATTGGATTCAATAGAAATACAAATGGATTTTTTCTTGTCCAGTATACATTATAAATAGTACTTATTTAAGATTATTCTTATGTTTAATCTACCACTGGTTCGGAAAATACCTGTGTCCAGGAAAGAATAATTGTTTACAGTCATATATTTTATTATTTATTTAACTTTTTTGAACCTTATAAAATATATAAGTACAAAAGGCGGACATAATGCTTAAAGCATTCTCTGCCTGTCAACCTTGAGGAGTGGAAAAACATCGAAGGCGGTTATTATAATACATAACAGTACAGAATAAGAAATATAATGAATTTAGGAATATATTATGTTACACAATTAACTATAAGTGGTATTAGAAATAACTTAGTAGAAACTACCTCATTCCCAGGGGTTATTTGCCATTCATAAATTCCTTAATACATATTAACATAACCCTTTTTATTTATATTTGCTTAATATTTTTTTGATCTTGGTAGTGGTCGAAATTTTTGAAATATTTAAATTATGAATAAAGTAATAAATAAATCATTGTTAGATTATTATTAATATAAAAATTAAATCTGGGCATAAACACAAATTACATACAGAAGAATTACACTGCACTAAGTCTATCCTTACAACAATTCCTCTCATAGCACAACCTCTTACTAACCCTGACTACTGTTACTTCTTATAATGCATAAATCAGGTTGCTCCTGTGATCATTTAAATTATTACCGTACACATCTGCCTCTGGGTCTGATACTCCAAATAGCATAGCTATATTATGTAGGACACAACGAGCTATAACTATAATAATTTTGGCGTATTTTTCGGGTTTGTAATGCAGATTGCGATCCCTGTTTACGCATTTCTCCACCTATTTTTCATTCATTAACAAAGCTAAAAATAAAATATTGTAAGTAAGTACTTTTATGACGTCTCTCTCAACCCTTGAAGTGGGGAACCTGATAAAGTTATTGGTTATTATTTATTGGCTGTTAAGTGCCTTCGTAACTTGAGACACATTTGCTAACACTTGTTTGGTCCAAATTCTTTCTCGTACCGACTAAACGTTGTTAAGAGCCTGTTGCGTAAAATAATAACGCACAAAGAACCTAAAACATAAATGAAAAAAATATGAGGTTAGGTGCATAATAACTACAGCAGGTAAATTAATTCTGAGCATTATTTTTTTTATACCTTAAGCTCTAAGCTTATTCTTTTATTTTAGAATTTATATATAATAAGTTTCCCTGTCAAGTTTATTTTAGAGCGAAGTTCAAGGCAAGGGAATTTAAATGCATTTTACTAAATCGTATCTTTAAGAAATATTCATAGGTTCTTCAGTTCGGCGATGACAAACCCGTTGAGTAATACCACTGGAATTATTTAGATAGATATAAGTATTTAATTTAAACAGCTATTAAAATAAATTTATTATTCATCAATTATATAATTAAGGTAAGGGTATTTACAGAATTTATTAATTAGTAATACTTTAATATAGTACATTTTATGTACCTTAATTCTCGTCTTTGCCTTCTTTCCTCGACTTCCAAATGCCACGCAAAATAATAAAAAGTCGTGGATCTCATCCTATTTATTCTTAATAAAAATATTTTAAACTTACATCAAAGAAAAACCCAGAGAAACTTAAAACTAAGTCTTCTCGATAGCGTTCTCGCTGTAAAAATGTCGGTGAGAACAATTTCGTAGTTCTGTATAGTGGATTGACGATAACGTACGTCTAATAGGGGCTACACACGATCACTTTTAACTGTCAGTTTTGACTAACCAGTTTTAACTGACAGTGAAAACTGACGTCCTTTGCAACCACACACGTTCAGTTTTAACTGTTCTGTTTGACCACAAACAACATTACCATCTCAAGATGTCATCAGCCGACGACGACGCTTTAGCGGTGCTTGGTTTATTAATAATTTTAAAAAATAAAAATAAAAAAAATATACGCAAAGAGTGGTGTAAAGAGTGGTTAAAAAAAAGGAAAATGTATTCCCATGTTAATTTATTCACCGAACTAAAAATAGTTTCGAAGGATTGGCACAACTATCTCAGAATGAGTGAACAAATATACCTCAATCTACTATCTCTAGTGTCTCCACTGATTAGAAGAAAGGATACAGTTATGAGAAATGCTATTTCGCCACATGAGAGATTAACAGCAACGTTACGATTTCTAGCAACAGGACGGAGCTATGAAGATTTAAAGTTTTCCACAATTATTTCACCTCAAGCCCTCAGCAGCATAATACCAGACACATGCGAGACTTTATTCAAAGTACTTTGCCCAGATTTTTTAAAGGTAAGAAAACTTCGAACATTTAATAATTGTTTTTATTATTTATTATTAAGAAAATTATCAAGAGATGACTTAAAAAAATTAAACTGAATGCGGTTTAGGGGCCTACGATTCATTTTGCATGTACTGCGATAAAAATGAAGCCGCAGTATTTACTTCTTGTAAAGGTATAGACATTTCAGGGATTGAAATTTGTACCGCTCCTGTATTGTTGTCTAAAAGGTATGGCTGAAGTATGCTCTGTGATTCTGCAGTGTTAGAATTTATTTGTTGTATTGTTGCTCGATTTTATATTTTGTGGTCAATAGTCAATTTATCCATTTCAGCTAAGAATAGAGCTTCGTTTATAATACCTTCCGCTAAAATGAGCTGTTCTTTAGGAAGATCACGCAACTTCGTTGCCACGTTTTTCCCAAAAATATCGAAACGATCATCCCGCTGTACAGGACGTTTAAAATGATCCTGTACAGTTAATAAAACGTCATTGGTTAAAGTTTGATTGAGATTCCTTTTTGTCGGTCTCGGATGGTGAGGTGGTGCCGACGATGATGCTGAATTTCCTGTGTCAGATTCAGAGTGGTTTGAAGCCAAAGATGAACCTGGTATAGAGTCTAGGTCTTCATTCTGTAACAATAATACATACACAAATAATAATATAATAATATATAATGTTTTATTTTCAGTTTCCAAATACGGAACAAGATTGGAAAAATATTGCTGAAAAGTTTGAGAAGAGATGGAACTTTCCACATTGCTTAGGAGCAATAGATGGAAAGCATGTTTCAATTGCTTTACCCCCTGGATGTGGATCAGAATTTTATAATTATAAAAACCGACATAGCATGGTTTTAATGGCTATTGTGGATGCTCAATACAAGTTCATTTTGTGTGATTTTGGCACAAATGGAAGAATTTCAGATGGTGGAGTATTACGAAACACTGTATTTTTCGAAAAACTTCAAGACAGTAAATTAAACATCCCAGCCGCCGAACTAGTCAAAAATAGCAACAGAAGTTTACCTTACGTATTTGTTGCTGATGATGCGTTTCCATTGAGAACAGACATGATTAAACCATTTAGACAAGCAGATCTTAATGCTTATGAGAAAAAAATATACAATTATCGAGTATCAAGAGCAAGGAGAATTGTTGAGAATGCTTTTGGGATTTTAGCGTCTCGGTTCCGTATATTTCACACAGAAATAAACATTGAACCAAAAAATATTGATTCCGTTGTAATGGCAAGTTGTGCTCTACACAATTACTTAACTGAAACAAACCAAGCCAATTACAGTCCTCCTGAAATTCTTGATAGGGAAATTTTTGATAACGGAACAATTATACAGGGAGTGACTTCGGCAGATTCGGACATGATAGATTTAGATAGAAGACACCAAGGAAATATAACAAATGCAGCTAAGAAAACAAGGGAAGATTTTATGAACTATTTCGTGAATGAAGGACAAGTTCCATGGCAGGATAATTTTATTCGTTAATGTTTTTATAATAGTCTAATATCAATAAACTAAATTATAAAATAAACAATAATAGTATTTATTTACTCACGTCATTCGTTTCTTCGTCATCCTTGGAAATATTTGATCTTGAGGATCGTGGTACTTCTTGGTCGGTGAGAAATTGTAGCAAATCGTAATACCATAACTTTGGTATATAAATATCATCCTTGCCAGATCCTGATCTTTGTGACGATTTGACTTTCAAAATTTCTTTTTTGAACGTGCAACGCAGTGTGTTAATTTTATTTTTCACTGTATCTATAGTTGCCGTAGAGTCAATTTCTTTAATTTTTTCTAATAATACCTTGTAAGCTGCTGATTTCCTTTCTCGGTCATGGTACTCCTTAGTTTTATTCTGCCATAAGCAAGGTTCATTCCTATATAATTCTATAAACTCGGCCAACCACAGTCTTTGCGTCATTTTTCTGCGTATGCGAAGAGAATAAACATGTACAGACCAGTTTCTTTTTCGTGATCGCAACACGACTGAAGAAACACCGCCTACACACGTACAGTTTTAACTGATCAGTTCCGTCATTTCAGTTAAAAAATATGTATCAACAATATATCATCAGTTTTAACTGATAATAAAAAAACTGACAGTTTTCATCGTACACACACTCAGTTTTCACTGTCAGTTAAAACTAATCAGTCAAAAGTGACAGTTAAAAGTGATCGTGTGTAGCCCCTATAAAATAGATTCGTGCTGCCAAAATCCACACATTTTGCGTCTTACGATTACTTAAACCAAACAATAGCTATGCATAACGCAGCGTTAGATGTTCGTGCTTCCAAATTTTAGTTCCAAATTTTTTTTTAGCTCACGGAGCGCTGTTCAAATTCCCATACAAAATTTTACTGAAACTAAACTGTCTCGTAAACTGTAAGTACTATAGAGCAAAATGTTCGTGCTCGGGGTACAGAATACCTAGAAAGTTTATAACGTTAGAGCTTAAAATATAAATAACTTAACTTACAACGTAAGGACGAATAATGCAAATTAAATTCTGTTTCAACTACTCTATACGATTGTAACGTTGTTCAGCGTCTCATAAAACTATTTTTTGATATACGACTTGTGTGTGATAGATGTTGAATTTCCATCCAATAAGGCAGAATATCATTTATTGGAGTTATAAAGCAACACGGGCCACCCGCGCGGTAGACCGAAGCGGAGAGGAGTTTTGTCCGATACTGAACATAACAAATAAAACAATAAAATTTTTATTAAAAAAATAACGTTTGCCCCCTCTCTATTAAGAAGAGAGAGCAAACGAGCACGGCTCACCTGGTGGTAAGTGACTACCGCCGCCCATGAACAACTGCAATACCAACTATTAGAAAGGAGAAAGCTCATTTCTTGAAGGTCCCAAGTCAGTCCGGAAAAATCACCGGTGGTAAACGATTCCACAAAGAGCTTGTAAGAGAAAGAAAACTCCTAATAAAACGCATAGTGGCGGACTGTCAAACATTCAGATGGCGTGGATGGTATCGTTAATTTTGTCGCGATGTGCGCTCGTGTAATTTGGTGAATTAATCCGAACAATTCCTCAGAGCACTCCCCATGGTAGATGCGATAAAAATGGAAAGGGATGCAATACCAGTGAATCGAGCCGATCAGAAAGTACTTGGTTGCCGACGATTACAGCCGCTCTGTGCTAGATGCGGTCAAGTGAAAGGAACTGGCTCTAGGGTGCCCCCAGAGATGAGAACAGTATTCCATGTGAGGTTGAACTTGCGCCTTGTAAAGTTACAAGCGGTGTGCCGGCATGAAATACTATCCTGCTCTGCTGAGCAATCCCAGCTTTTTAAAGACCAATTTAGTCTTTCCTTTCAAGTGACCACTAATCTGCAGATCATTCGATATGTCGACGCCGAGGATCACGATGCTAGCTGAGGCAACAAGGGGAGTGCCCCGATATTGAAGAGATATGACACATAGAGGAGCATCCATGCCATGGCTGGGATCTGCCTCCGATTGGTACAACAGAAGATGAAATAAAAAGTTACATACCCTGAAGTACCACATTAGCGACAGAATCAGCAACAACGTTGAGATCGTCCGAGAAGCAAATCCACTACCAAGGGTAGGATGCAAAAAAAGACCGCTTCCTGTCCCAATCTGACGACCTATAGTACCAAACACGGCGGCATCCTGCAGAATGCAACCGCGATGTTAGCGTGCGTGGTACCATACTCCGGACTAGACACTGGTCTTCTGAATAAAGAATATATGTAGAATGCAGACGTAATAAATAAAATTGTAGTAAGCTTTCACACACTTTTTTCTACCTTAAAACTTACCTTGCGTATTTTAAAATCACGATAACGTTAAAAACATAATCTAATAAACGTCTTTAAAATCCATAATCATAAATAAACTTCTCCCTATTTTTTTCCTCTCTTCTGCTGCTGTTGACCACATTAGAAGAACTCCCATTTTTAAGCGTTTTGATAAAACTGATGGTATTTTAAATAAATAAAATACGCGTGCTTTATTTATTTAAAATATTACCTTTCCTCATATCATTATTATGTTTAACGAAATGGATTTAGTAGATAGTAGAATTTTAATATTAAGGCAGTAGTAGTATTGTCACTGCATCTGACTATATTCTGGCAATATTAATCATCCATAGACAAACAAATGCGTCAAACTAATCATATGATCACACAGAGTAGGTACCTTTGTATAAACCGAAAATCACTTTTCACATGATCGATAGTCACCAAAGAGTATAATAAGTATATACAGGAAAAGAGAGCCCTCTGACGATATTTTATTGCAGACCAAATTGTACTACTAGCGCCTCCTACAAATTGAATCCGAACTAATTCGCTATATATAGCTCTATATATAGGTACCTCTTCTATAGTAGTAAAATGTATAATATTGTTCTTTATTTCGTATACATACTGAAACAGTTTTACTGCCTACTTTTTGTAATACTGCTTTTGATATTATTAAAAGTAGGTAAAATAGTTTCAATAAGTACACTGGTATTTATGGGGTATTTGCAATGAAACAAGAAAGATAATTATTTCATCTTTTATTTTTATAATGCCTATGTTTATTATAATATGTTTGCGCTGCAATTTTTACATCATCTTCACCATCAACATATGTCAATTTGCCGGATAAAATACGGTTAATGGATCTACACCAACTATGCAATATAATATTAATTGAAACATCTGTGAAATATTCTATCAATGTTTCTTTATGTCGACAGCAATCAAAAGGATATTCCACAAGTACATCTGCAATTGATTTAATCTGTTTTTTTATGTTACATTTCGAAACGTCTTTTTTTAGAAATGACTCTGTAATATTTTGTAGGTCATGGAAACAATTTTGCAATGCTTCATTGGGATAACACAACCATTTTTTTTTATTATATTCTTTAACTTTTATAAAACTATTACTGGCATTTTGGTTGTTTGAATCTGTTAGGTTCTGTCTACAATATTTACACGATTTTACAACTTTTTTTAAACATTTAGTCAAGACCCAACCACATACATAATTTCGTTGCCCAGCATCTGCTTGTAGTGAATAATTTAGTAACAAATTATCATTTAAAATAATTTTGTCTTCAGTGGGAACATCAGAATCGACAGTATTACTTTGTTTTTCATTAAGAAAAAAATGAAGGCCTTGAAGGCACTCATTCATATCTTCTTCACAGTTAGATTTTTTGGATTGTGGTAGATTATAATTGTTTAATAATAATGCTTTAAATGCCCCTTCAAATGAAATAGTGTTAGGGGCAATATTTCTGGCTCCATAGCTTCTGATGTTCCCAAAAAAGTTTTCTACAGGGTCCTGATTAAAATTACGTGTTAACACTGTATCATAGCCGTATTTATCAAACAAAACTTTGCAAATTACTTCCATACCGTTGATAGTTTTAATAAAATTTGTCACAGAAGGTATAGTCGTTTCCACTAAACATACTTTATTTCCAGTAACCTTTTTTTGGATGAATTTTACAGTTTTTAAAATTTCTTTAGCTTTCAGCCACAGTTGGTGATGAGGTGAGTGCCTTTTAATTGGTCCTTTATAAATTTTACCATTGGGTATGCTAAATGTACTACCATTGAGGCTGTCAAATAAATTATCAAGTAGCAAAGTTATTTCAATTAATTGCTTACATTCTACTGGCAAATCACCTCTTGCTATCAAATGGTCAGTAACCACAGCCACACTGTGGCTGAAAACCTGTGTTGCAGATTTGACCCTCATTTTATTTATTTTCTCGGGGACAATATGTTCTTCCGTTATTTTATTTAATAATCGGAGCTCCCCATGTGATTTATCAGCTGTATATACCTGCTGATAATATTGCCATTTAACTATTTTATTTTCATTGTTTGATTTATACATCATATCTTTACTCAATAAATTGTTTCTAATTCCTTTCAATAAATGAGGAACATCATACAATGGAATAATATCGTGACCATTAATAGTAAATACATCATGGCGCCACTCTTTATCAAGTCGCAAAAACCTCGCTCTTGTGTCATGAACTAAATCTGTTATAGCACCAACATTTACAGAGCTTTGGTCACATACAGTATTAATTAATATTAGGCCAGATTTTTGGACTTCAGTTATGACACATTTAATCAAAGGTTTAAGCTCATTTTTTTGCAAGCTATTGGTAAAATAATAGGCGACCGGCTGTTTAAAATTTTGTTTTAAGCCTTTTACCATAAAAACAAGAGCATGGTCAGCAAATTTTGTAACTTGAGAAGTGGCAAACCCTTCAAATGCATCTTTTTGATTATTATAAAATATTTGGGGAGTCAAAGACATCTCATCAAATATAAGACTGCAAAGTCGATCAGGAGTATCCTTTTCGAGTACAGTCTTTTTAATTTTTTCAAATAAAATGGGATTAATACCAGGGCACAATTTAATTTGACTGAGCAACCGTTTCATTGCTTTTGATGAGGGCAATGTAAAATATTTATATAATAATGAATAGGCTTTTGGACTTTTTTTATACATTGATAATGCAAGGATTTTTTCATCCATTGTAAATCGTCTACCTTTGGGTTTCTTTAAACATTGCATCTGCATATGGACAAATAACTGGGCAGGTTTCCTCATATTTTTGACAACTTGCTGAAATACTGTTTCCTTAGATAATTTCGCAGCATTTGCTAGCCTTGCCTTGAAGGATTGCCCTCTATTCTTTAAACGGCTTATCTCCGACTGCAAGTATTTGATTTTCGTCGCGAAAGGTTTAATTTGGACATAATTGTATGTCAATGTCCTCACAGAACCTGAAAATTTTAAATTTTTATTAGTTTTTTTAAGCATTAAGTTCCGTTACAGCTTCATTTTAAAATTTCATTAATCATAACTGATATTAACTGGTAATAAGGAATCAAAAGAATTAAGATGATCTTATTACACTATTATTGTTTTGTAACTTAAAAAATATATGAAGTGTAAATTATATTTTTTGATTAAGTGTCACCTATATTTTCAAACTTTTGATTTTTCTTTGTCTACAATACCATGTGTGTTTTAGTGACTAAGTAATATTGTGTACCTTTTCCAAATGTTTTTCTTGTAGATCTGCTAGCCGCGCTATAATTATGCTCCATTATTACAGCAGGTGCAATACCACGAACCGTGCCTGAAACAAATTCATGCGGAATCGGTATTACTAAAAAATAATAGAACATCCCTTGCGACTTTCAATAAATGAAGTGAACACAACAGAAAATGTAGATGCCTTTTTGCTAATACTTAGAATTTTATTTTCAATGCATGTAACAATAATTTCAAATGTTTGATAAAGCGAGTCTTAAGTTTGCCTATTCTATTATTATGTATACAACAAAATGATAACATAAACAATTAGTTTTGGTGTTGACTATACATTATTAGTACTGGGGTGCATTAAAATAGCTTATTTAGTCCAACAAAGAAATTATGCCTAAGATTTTGTAACTAGACTACAAATGACAAAATTGCTAATTAATATTATTTCTGATAATAATTCTTAAATAGATTTTTCTTATTTACCTGTAATTGCAGGAGTTAAGGTAGAAGTATGACTCAATGCATTGTGGGCTACAATTAAAGGAGGTTCTTGCTCCAACGTGAAACTGGCAGATGGTCCTGAAATTAATATAAAGCTTATATTAAAATTTGTAAAATATATATAATATACATTACTACACTTGCAACATAAACCCAATCTAGACTTTAAACTTATTTATATAATATATTATTTAACTTGTAATAAACTTTAGAATTATAAATTAGACTTAAATCGAATATCAGATCAACTAGAGCATAATATTCAATCCATTCCATCTTAGTCCTCATGGGTGACAACACACCTGCATTTTGATTCTTTATTGAGGATAAATGTAGATGTCTATGGGTCGCAGCAACCACTTACCATCAGGTGGACTGTGTGCTCGTTTGTCACCCTATCCTATAAAAAAAATGTTTTGGCAAGACTATGATTTACATAATGATTTCTTATATTTACGCGAATACTAAATATGGAAATGAAACTAGTTTTACGGATTTTATCACATAAAAGTAAAAAGTATAAAGTTACAGCCTATAGGTTTTAGAGCAAGGAAATGTCCGCCACGCTGCCCCAATGCGTGTTGGCGAACTTCACATGTCTTTGAAATATTTTTTTCTTATTTCTCAGACATGCAGGTTTCCTCACGATGTTTTCCTTTACCGCCGAGCACGTAGTAAATCAGCACTTAAAATTGAAATTAACAATTTTATAGTTGCTGGTGGGGTTCGAACCCGGGTTGCTCGCGTACTATGAAACTTACAGCAAGTGCTAACCATCTGAGCTACCACAGCTCGTCTTAACCATGGCTACCTCCAGATTAAAATCCCAAACAGATGGTAGCACCCAGTCATGTTCTCTATTGAAATTAGGATGTTTTTTGATTTCAACAGCTTCGCGAATCATCCTTGGAAGGAATCTGTGTTCATTAGCGAGGATTTCTGGTCTATCAAATCTAATGGGTGCTGTAAAGTGCTCGAAACGTCGGGAATATAAAATAAGTTAATATACGAGATAAAGTCCGTAAAACTGGTTTCATTTAAAAGACTATGGTTCTTATTGCACCACGATTTGAATTTTTCGCATTTTTCAGTTTGCCACCAGGCAGCAGAGGTGAAAACATTTGTAATTGTTATTACTGATGTGTGATAGATATTTATGTACCAGACCTGTATTTGATGCATGCGAAGTTGAAGGTTGGCAGCAACCAGTATCAGAAACCTTGGCAAGTGTTTCTGAAATTATTAATAAGAAAAGTAAACACCAACATAGTCAGAAGCAGCAGTATTTAGACAAATATGAAGTAAATATTGTTTGTATAGGTAACTAAAGTATGGAATTAAATATAAACATTGAAATTTATCAGCTTAGTTTTGGGGTTCTAATGCTCGATCATTTTATTCATTTATTGTTAAGTTTCAATTTAATTTACTTGTAACACTTGGCACAAGTCTCAATAACTGTGAAAGAGTATTATATAGTGCTATCAAGAAAGGCTTATTTAAATAGTTGAGAGCAGTAATGCAGATAAAAGTAAATCACTTAAATCAAAATGTATATTGGAATTGGGTTCTTAATCAGATTTCCGATTCTGTTTAGTCCATTATGTCTCGGTCTAATAGGACCATATTATAACTCAAGTTATCAAAATCTATATATATATATATATATATATATATTTATTATATTATATTAATAGCATTATTTAGCTATACACCCACAATTCTATAGGGCAAGCGTATTGTCATTTATAAGACACTATTTCATGTACTGGGCTGTTATTGGGTGTTTCTTAACAGTAATTCACAAATTATAATGTTATTGTCCAGGACAATGTAAAAGGCTGGGCCTTAAGTTCAATCATAGCAACCAATAATTACTTCAATAAATAATGTAAAACATGTACCTATACATACCATGTAAATAAAGTGATGGAATTGCATATGCCTTTAACCGGTTATTCCGAACTCGGTCTTCTGGAGTAAAATGTATGTCACAAATCAACTTCTTCTGGTAATACTCGTAATCAGAAGCTGATTCCAGTTTTCCACCAACAAGAGTGACCCAAGCCTTAAAAGACCCTGGGAACTTAAAAGCATTTGGAAAACGATGCATTGGGGAACCTGAAATGAAATAAAAAAGGTGTATAAATTACTTGAAGATACATTATTATTTGCAGTGGGCATGGCCGTATAATATACCATCCGTACCATCTGGATGATTGGTAGTAGGCATGTGTCCGATATATATCAAAACTAATCTAAAATCCTATTTGAAACACAAATCGAATCATATCAATTTCTCAAACTAGAAAATCCTTAGGGGATACCTTAGGGGAGGCCTATATTCAGCAGTGGAATTGTGAAGGCCTGTAATGATAATGATGATTTACACATAGTTACAATCAAGAACTTAATTCATCTCTTGTAAGAGGTGTTAGTGACCCTCATGAATTAAGACCATCATGCCTAAGATTTTCTGAAGCTTTTATCTCCACTTCTTCAATAGGTTATTCGAAATTTATAATTAGAAGGTAAAGAGGAAAATGAAGATGGCAGTTTGACTAAAATAATGGCTTTGGTACGTCCAGTGCTGCAGTGCACTCTGGGCAGCCATCCCTACAACCACCTTGTTGACTGAATAAACTTTTTATCACGTATTTATTACCGATATAATTCAAGTACTGAATATAAAATACACTCACCACTAGGGGCACAACCAAACGAGCACAATTTAGGCATTTTGAACAAAATTATGTACGTGTAAAACACAACACAAAAACAGCGTCCTTTCGCGATATTGTCCAACACAATTCAAAATCGGGGCGAAGTCCACACCACAGCAAGGCGGAGGAGATCAAAGCTCGACTCTACGCACTTTCTGAGAGTTTTCACAACCGAAACAGAATTAAATAAAATGGAGAAAACTACAAACATGCGCACACGCAAACAGTATCCACCATTTTGAGTTTTGACTTTCATTTTCGTTTGAATATTTGTATTTGACGTTTAGAAGTTTAGGGTGGCCAGTATCATAATTATCATAATCGATTGATGTCATGATGTTTAAATTTTTTTATGTGAAAATAATATTTGTAATTAACAAAAACACCAATAAATTTATCATGCATTTAATTTTATTTTTAAGTTATAATTTTAGTTTATTTTTAGAAATAAGCGACATCTGTGAAGTCCTTAAAACAATAATAAACAATGTTTTCGGAAACAAATTATGGATGGCGCTACCTTCAATTGAATTCTTGTGGTCCAAGGCAACTGTCCTACCCCTGATAGTCACTCGTCATTGCCTATTTCTTGTCGATTTATGACAATTTCTGGGCTAAAACTATTTTTTTAGTCCACAAACGTCCACTAGTTATAGTTAAGTAAATCGCAGACTATGGCGTACTGCCGTTTAGTGTTTTCTCTTTTAGTATTAAGTGTCGTACAAAGTTATGCATCCGAAGTACAAGTATTTCTGTGGGGAGACCTGGTGAAGACATCTTTAAAATCCAACCCCTTATCGTTGATCACTGCCGAAAATTTCGCGGAAACCCTTGTACAGGAGCTGAAAGGTGATCCTTTTACCGTCATATTTATGGAAGAGAACCTATCAGTGGAAGATTTTTCGCGTAAAAACGCCGAGGGTGAAACATACTTCCCCTATTTACGCGCCAACATTGGTGATTCGTTGTATTTACCGAATGTAGAGAACGCTGTACGTGTCCTTAACAACCTAGCGGACCCTGATAAGGTAGATCATGTTAAGTTGTTAGAAAATGGGCTATCGGCTGAAATTGAGCCACAAAGTGGTGAATTCTTATTCATTAATCTTAAAGATGCTCAGGAAGGTGACTCTAGAGCCGATCTCCTGCGTCGTCACAACGACTTCATGGAAGACATGTTCACTAAGCTGAAAGAGCGTTATGAGAAAGTCGTAGCCATATACACAGCTCACAACCCTTCCTGGACAATTCCTGAGTCTCATCTTCGTATCCGACGTCAGGCATCTTCCAGGAATAATGATTATAAATTGGACGGTCTTCGTCTGTATGTTAAGGAGCTTGTATTATCCGAAGGAAACAAAACAACACTTTTAGATAACATGGCCAGCAGTTCTACTGAGTTTAACAATACAATGAAGACCATGACTACAGTTATGAACTTTAACATGGACAACATTCAGCTCAATTTTGTTGAGAACAATGGTTATTGGACTTTTGGTGAGTATCTTATTTAAAAAAAATAATATGTTGATAAGTCTTAAATTCTTGTGATCTCGGGTTTAAAAAATATTTGTTCGAAGCGTTTGAATAACATTTTTTGTCATAAAAGGAGTCCCTTTTTTGTAGTGCCATAGTCCATGAAGTTTGACATTTCACAATGCATACTTAACATTTTAGCTTGCATATTTTTCAAGGGACTTGCTAAAATACTGTTTATACCCAAAATATATGATGATAATCTTAAACTACGTTTTGTAATAATATGGTTGAATGTAACATAAATCGGTATCACAAAACATTTTTAATGATTTTTGAAAGTATTTTATGTTATGACTAATCTTAGGTGTAAAAATAACCAACCCTGTAAGGCATCGGTCAGCAACAGGCAGACCGCGGTCCGCAAACAGACCGCGAAAGGTGAAACCTCGGACCGCCAAATATTACAATATTAGTATGCAATACATTACAATATTTGGCATAAGTAGTATTAATACGAGGGTGGATTGAAAAGTACTCGGCCTAACCAAGAAAATAAACAAATACTAAATCAGTTATATTTTTATTTTTCTACATAATCACCATCAAGTTCAATACACTTTTGCCACCTCCCCTTCCAAGCATTTAGACCGTTGAAAAAAAATGATTCTTCCTTAGAGTCAAAATATGCGTCTACAGCTGCTTTGACCTCGTCGTTTGTCGAAAATCTTTGACCTCCCAAGTGCTTTTTTAGGTTAGGGAACAGAAAGAAGTCTGATGGTGCCAGATCAGGTGAATACGGCGGATGCGGTAACAGTTCAAAGCCACAGTTGTGAATTTCAGCCATTGACTGTACTGACGTGTGAACACGGGCGTTATCTTGATGAAACAGGACTTTTCTTCAGAGCATTCCTCGACGTTTTTCTTTTATTTCCTCTCGTAAACGACGTAGTAAGGTGCAGTAGTAATCAGAGTTTATATTCTGACCCCTTTCAAGATAATCAATCATAATCACACCTTTCGAGTCCCAGAATACTGAAGCCATCACCTTATTTGCCGACAAAATCGACTTAGCCTTTTTAGGGGGTGGTGAACCAGGTCTTCTCCACTGTTTTGATTGTTGTTTTTTTCCGGTGTACAGTAATGAACCCATGTTTCGTCCATAGTAACAAAACGATTCAAAAAATCATCTGCATCGGCTTCAAATAACTCCAAACAGTCGCGTGAAATAGTCAATCGCGTCCTGTTTTGTTCAACTGAAAGCAGTCGCGGAACCCACCTCGCAGACACCTTGTGGAAACCCAACTCGTTGACAATGATGTTTTGAGTTCATTCATAAGAGATGCCTATAATCTCGGCTATCTCTCTAATTTTTAATCTGCGGTCTCCCATTATTAAATCAAGTACTTTTTTAATATTTTCGTCAGTAGTTGACGTCGAAGGCCTTCCAGAGCGGGGTTCATCTTTCACACTCTCTCTACCACGCTTAAATTCTGCTATCCATTTTTTGACGGATGAATATGACAGAGCACAATCGCCTAATGTACTGACCATGTCATCATGGATGGCTTTTAATGATAGCCCCTTCTTATGGAGGTACTTAATGACGGCACGCTGCTCGATTTGCTCCATTCGCGGAAATTATGTCCAATTACTTTGTTAATAAATTTATAAAATCACAACTAATTATCGCACACGTTTCGAACTTCACACAATGAACTAGTCTGAACTGAACTAAATAATGTGGGTTGATTTGATTTTTAGAATTGAATGGATCTGTGTTAGGCCGAGTACTTTTCAATCCACCCTCGTACGTAGATACGGTATATTATACCTTTATTAATTAAAATAATATTTTTAAGCCACATAGAATTTAACTTAGTACCTATTTTATATTATGTTGGCTAGTTAACCTGTTTAACAAGCACCTACATCTGATATGGTTTGATTAGTTTCCTACCTAGCCTGTGTGTGTGTGTTTGTGCAAATTAGTTGTATTTTTTCTGGACCTCGTTAAAATTTTCCCACAATATCCGGATCCCACCTAAAGCTTCTGGCCGACCCGTGCTGTAAGGTTTAGTATTGAGCATAGGGTAATGTTATCAGCTTACCATGTAGGAGCAATTGACAATGAAAGAAAATAAAAGAAGTGTTGTGATTTGCATTGTTTCTTGTACAGTCAAAACTGGATAAAGCGACATTGAAGGGACCATGTAACTTTGGACGTTATATCCGATAGTTGTTATAAGCAATATACACAAGTATACAAATATAAAAATATTTATTCTGAAAAACTTGCAGGAACAACAGTACAGCGTATAAACTACAATTAGTTTTTAAAGTAATCAGTCATTTTGGTCTGTTTTTTTTAAGCCGAGTCTCAAATGTGTTTTGCATTTAACGTTTCATTCTTGTCAAGATTGCTTGATTATCATCAGCATTAAACTCTGTTAAAATCAACAAAATTTTGTAAAACTATTATAGCATTAATAGCCTCGCATAGTGTTGTTGGTTGGAACTGCTCTTGGGGGTCTTCGTTTTCTTCATCAGTGTTACGATTATTACTTTCAACTTCTGCAAGAATCTCTTCCTCAGTAACTACGGCGCACACGTCAACATTGTCATCTATTCCAATAAATTCTTCTATTTCAATCAATGGTTCTGTGGTAGTAGATCTGTGTAATTGAGCAGCCAATTGAGCTAGTGGTAAGTTGTCATCTTCATCTGTAGAAAATCGGTGGGTAGGTGTGAAAAAGTCAACAGCTGATTTGATAGCTCCAGTTTATTTATTCAATTAAAATAATTTAAATAAAATTTAAGTTAAATTACATTCAAATCAGAGAGTTTACACATTTTAGTTTACATTAATATTATAAACATATGTGTTTAAAGAAGATTTAAGAACTTACTTGCATCACCCTACAGCTCAACTTAGCTTAAAAGTGAATATCTATATATACACATTTCAAGTAATTAATAAAGCACATAATGGCAAATGTCACTAAGGTTGATCTGATGCAGAAGGAACTTGAAGTTAGCTGGATGCAAAAGATGACAGAGTTTGAAAAATGCTTAAAAGCTGCATTAGTCCCATCCAATCCAACTTTGGTCCAGGTAAGTGAGGAATTTTATGCTTTTAAAGATCTAGTGAGCAACATGTTTAGTCTTCTGCAGCAACAATTTCAAAGGTGTACTAATGTAGTTGACGAATAGATATGCGACAAAGGCGTAAGGTGCTTCTTTTTAATGGTATTCCTGAAGAGCCAGGATTAAATGAGGAACAAGAGGTACTTGCACTTATTAATAATAAAATGGGCCTTTCACATATAAGCAAGTCTTCCTTGAAACGCTGTCATCGATTGGGAGCTCCGGGAAATGATCAGGTAAGAGCTGTACTTGTCCATTTTCATAATCATGATACTAAATCCGAAGTCTGGAGATCTAAGCCTAAATTAAAGAATACATCATACACGGTATCGGAGTTTCTTACTAAAATGCGACAGAGTACATATAAGAAGGCTCGCAGACATTTCGGCATGAAGAATGTTTGGACTCTTGATGGAACCATAAACATTAAACTCCCAGATAGTACCCGCATAAAAATTTTCACTGAGGAAGAGTTTGATATCCTTCTTACTAAATGGCCCCAGCCTAGTTCCTCGTCTGACACTGTGCAGCAAGGCCCATTAGAACCCAGTTGTCAGCAAGATGGGGCCAGTCGTAAACAAGGCATCCACGCCGTTCAAAGTGTGGAAAGTAAGAAGACACGTTGTGTGGTGCCCAAAAAATAATTCCACTGTCGTCGGAAGTTTGTGTATTGTATCTTTGTAGCTTCGATTCTTAAGTTAATTTTTTTTTCTTTTTTGTTATTTAGTTGTTTTTTGTCATTATCAGTTATCATTAGTTGAAGGTAATTGTATTATTTACGTTTAGCTTTTTTACTTTTTTACGATTACACACAAGTTCTACAATAGAGTAGATATACAATATGTGTTACGGATCGCCGTAACGCCGTTCGAAAAATGAATAAAAACGCGCTGGTCTTGCTTAAACTGGAGGCAAGCGGCGGTGAGGAGGAACTTGTACATTTTCTTGCTGTTGTCTTCTTTCGGTGGCTGGAGAGCGACTGCCGACCGTTCTTTTTTTTTTTTTTTTGCGCCCGAAGCAATTGGAAAAGGGCTACCCCGAAGGGAGGCAGAAAATGCATTACGCATACCACGATGGCCGGTCCATCGTGGTTATTAGGGACTCACTACCTACAAGGGGGAACCTAAGTGATACCCTCTAAAAACTGCCTTTGGGGACTGGCAACCAGCTGTTGAAAGCTTCACATGCCGTATCGTAAAGCGACCCTCTTTTGGGAAAAGAGGGCGCAGGCGGCTATAAGCCGCTGAGGGAGTGCCTGGGAAGGCAAATTAATTATGAATGAATAACTTAATTAGAGTTGGCCTGAGCCGCCAGGAGGCAGTTCAGGTCGTTTGAAAGTTTATTAGGCGGGTCCGAGAGGGAGTTCCTCGGCCTGCGGACGCTATAGCGGGAGGGGAGTGGGGCTGCATAATTAGCAGCCTCACGAATAAAATGATTGGAATGCGACTCTGAGGCTTTGAAGAAGTTCTCAGAGAGTTTTTTAAGGAATTGTTGAATTGTAGGGAGCTCTAGGTCCCGATGAAGGTCGGCATTGCGGACGTACCAAGGTGCGTTCGCACCTCGACGACAGAAAAGGTTTTGAACTACTTGGAGTTCATTAATAATTTTAGGGTTAGAGTGGGCGAAAATGGGGCCCGCGTAGGACATGACTGGTCGTATACAGACCTTATAAAGGGTACGCTTGTTTCTGAGGGACATTTTACTGTGTCGGCCCAACATACTGTTGAGCCTATTCAGGTAAAAACGTGCGTGACGGGTTACTCTTTTGACGTGGGGCCTGAAAGTTAGCCCTGTGTCTAGAGTGACACCTAAATATTTGGCAGACGTATGCCAGGGGACAGGGGTCCCTAGCATACGTATTGGTGGAGTGTTTTTGAGACGGCGTCGTTTATAATCGAAGTGAACGGCGGAGCTCTTCTCCGGGTTCACATCGATGCGCCATTTTTTGAACCAAGCTCCTAGGTCATCAACTGACTTTTGGACCTTGTTCCGTATGAAAGGTAGCGAGATACCTTTGCAGTAGAGAGCAGTGTCGTCTGCGAAGAGGGAGAGCTGAACACCTTTCGGCGGAATGGGAATGTCGTTGGTGAACAGTATGTACAGCAGAGGAGCAAGAACTGAGCCCTGAGGGACACCAGCTTTGATGGGGCGCTGTGAAGATAGCGTGCCTTCGTGTCTAAAACGAAAGGTACGATGATTAAGATAAGAGGCCACGAGACGTACTAGACGATCGGGGAGACCTATTTTGTATAGTTTGTAGATAAGGCCTGTATGCCAGACTCTATCGAAGGCTTTGGCGATGTCGAAAAAGACGGCGATAGTCTTATGACGACGGGGATAAAAACCGCTGAGGATATATTCCACAATACGGTGAACTTGTTGGGGGCAGGAGTGTTTCGCTCGGAAACCGAATTGATGGGGAATGATAAGAGGGTCACCGTCTGTGGGAAACAGATGGCGCCTCATGCGATTTTGAATGACTCTTTCAAAGAGCTTGCCCATGGCCTTGAGGAGGCTAATGGGACGATGACTGGAGGGGAGATTAAGAGGCTTGCCTGGCTTGGGAATACCAATTACAGTTGCCTCTTTCCACGTAGTGGGAAAGTAACTAAGGTTGAAGCAGGCATTGAAGATAATAGATAAAAGGGTTAGCACCTGCTCAGGAAAGTTTTTTAGGGCTTGGTTGGAGATGCCATCCGCGCCCGGAGCCTTTTTAGGCTTAAGTCCTTTGATGAGGGATGAAAGCTCATCATTGGACACAGAGATAGGTTCGGAGGCTGTAGGGGGCGAGTTCCGGCGGCGGACCTCATCCTCCACTGCCTGGACGTGTGAGGGGTCTACGGGTTGAGAGCTAGGAGAGCATTGAGCGGCAATGCTGTCTGCAAAGCACTCAGCCTTTTCCTCGTCCTCGAAGGCTACCGTACCGTCGGGACGGGAGAGAGGGGGAGTGTGGAAGATAGCGTCTATGCGGAGGGCTCTTGCCATCTGATAGTACGCTGTATGAGAGGGAGAGATATTCTCCATGAGCTTACTCTTTTCGAGGTCTCGAAATTCAGAGAGGCGGAAACGGAGTTCTCGTTGAAGACGATTGGCCGTGCGCCTATATTCGGGCGTGGGATATTTTGCTGCTCTCCGGAAAGCAGCTTTTTTGGCTTTTAATAGGTTGCTAATATGCAGGGGAAGCCCACTATTATTAGCAACCGGGACGACCCTTTCATTCTCCTTAAGGGAGGTTTTAATAAGGGTGGAGAGTGAATCGACCGCGGTGTCGATTTTTTCAGGACTGTCTAAGTCCGAAGATAGGGAGATGGGGGAGTCCTGTGAGTCCAGAGCTTTCGCTAGGGACTCCTTGAAGCCCTTCCAATTTGTGAAGGTTTTAGTAGAGGGTGTTGGGAGTGGTGGCTGATGGCCAAGAATGAGAGAGACCGGTCGGTGGTCGGATCCTAGATCGTCTAGTGTCTCGATTGCCCTAAGGTTGAGAGAAACTCCTTTGAGTAACGCAAAATCTAGTACATCGGGGGCATAGTCGGTGTTATCGGGAAAGTGAGTAACACCGAGAGGACTGTGGACGGTAATATCAAGAGACTGCGTGATATCGAGCAGTAACTTGCCACTACGGGTGGTAGTACGGCATGTCCATTCAGTATGCTTGGAGTTAAAATCTCCAAACATAATGACTGAATTGCCTAGAGATAAAATAGCCTCAAAATCTTTTTTGAGGGGAAGGGTTTTAGAAGGGATGTAACAGGAGGCTATGAAGATGGACTGATGTCCAGTCATAGCTAGCCTGCATACCGTGGCTTCCATGTTGGAAAGTTGCGGAGTAGAAATGGGAGAACAGTGAAGTGTCTTCTTGTAATAAATGGCCGTACCGCCGCCTCGGCGGTCGGGTCTATCATTACGAAGAAGAGAGAAGTTTTTGATGGAAAGGCCTTTAGTGTCCTTAGTATTGAGATTAGTTTCCTGTAGGAGGAGGAAATCGGTTTCACGATTTTGAAGAAAGAGCTTAAGCTCTGGGAGGTTATTTCGCAAACCGCGAATGTTAAAGGATACAAGCGATAAACCCTTAGGTTTGATACGACCGTGGGATTTTGGTAGAGCAAACTGCTCTGTCATTGTGAGTTAAGTTAATTAAGTTAACTTAACTTACAATGAGCACAAAAGATTATGATGCTCTGCAAGAGCGAGGAGACGGTCCTGAGGGGACCTCGCAGCGCGCAATTTGCGTGCTAACACAGCGATTTCCTCAACGTTGATGTTCCTAATTGCGGAATACACCGTTTTTAGGTCATCAGCCATTGAGGGCTGTGATTGTTGTGGTTGAGGGGCGGAGGATGTCCGCGGTGGTACTGCCTTTTTGGGGCCCCAGGGAAAAACTGGAGGCTGCATAGGCTGAGAGAAGCCCGGAGGGGGCCGAATAGTGCCCTGAGGGGGCCTAGGAGGACCCTGAGAGGGTCGAGAGAAGCCCTGGGTGGGCTGAGAAAGGCCCTGACGGGGCATCCGTTGGTAAAGAGCCGGGAATGAGCGGTCATTGACCGGCGGTGGAGCTTGCCTACTGGGGCGAGGATGAGGTGCGCAAGGGCAGCCTCTGTAGTTAGCCGGGTGGCCCGTTTGTT